AAACCTGCTAGCCCACTGACAGATGCTGCAGGTGTTGGGAGTCGTCTGGCTGCTGCCAAGCGGGCAAGTGTTGGCCTGCTAATGACCCCCACCAGTACCCGGGAGCCCCGTACACGGGCGCGTCGAAGGCCCCGCGCAACAGCAAGGGGTCGATGGGCAGAGTCGGCGCTGGCGGCGGGCGACGACGGACTGGCCGGAGAGCGCCAGTGGTGGGGCGGCGACGTACGCCAGCGGGGGCAGCGGGGTTGAGTCATGCGGCAAGTCGGGGCGGGCCGGCGGGGCGACGCCGAACGTGCCATAATTGGCGGCCGCCCTGTACGGCGGCGAGGCCGCGTCGTAGGGCACCGGCGACGGAGCCATACCTGAGGGTGCCGGCGGCGGGACGGCAGAGGCGGCGGCGGACCACGACGTCTTCATCGACATCGTCATCGACTCCGATAGATCAGTGGCCACACGACGTCTTGGACCGCCCGTGCGTGCGCCGGGTGCGCTGGTCCGGTGGTCACTGCGCAGTTGTACTACGCTGGCCCGTTGAGCTGGCCGCCTTGCAACTCGCGCGGCCCGCGCGGCCGAGTTGGCTGCTGGAGCATCGGCGCGGCCGGTCATCCCCGCGGCCGACCGCATGAGGCTGCTCGCGGAGGGGTTTCGGGTTGGGCGGAAGCGGTTAGCGGGCGGGCGCGGGTGGGAGTGGGCGGGATGGCAGCGGGCGATGGGGCGATGCGGAAGCGGCGATGGCAACTGGCGATGCAGGTTGGCAGCTGGCGATGCGGGTTGGGACGGGTTTGGGCGATGCGGGTTGGGGCGAGTTGGCGGGCGACGCGGTGTAGGAATCGACGGGCAACGCGGACTGCAGCTGGGGGCATCGCGTGATGGCAGCTAGCGAGCAGGCGTCGTGGGTTGGGAGAACGAGGAGCGGCGGCCGGCGCGGAGGCGCGCGGGCGGCAGCGGCGGCGCGACATAATATGTGAATTGCACGATGTATTGCTCTTCGTGTATATATACGTATATATGATGTGTAAAGGTGGGTCACGGACCTCAACTATACAAGAAACTAGAAAACAAATCCAATACACAATATGCACATAACACATATACTACTCAACAACCTCCAACGGCTCTTGACAGAGGCAGCTCCCGGGCGGCGACATTCGGACAACAAAGGTAGTGAGTCGGAGTGCCAGGGTTTTCGAGGTCATGGTCCTGGGCGAGACATGCGTCAAAGAGTTGCATCGTACGTGCATCTGGGCCACGTGCGAGGAGTACTGCGCGTAATCCGCAACATCTGCTCCCTGACCCGGACAGACCAGACCATAGGAATTGATTCGATCCATTCCCGCCTGGCCAGCCTGAATATGATATGAATCATATCATACGATCGATGCTATGTGATCACACATGCACATCGTCAGTAAATACCGATCGACATACTGCAGTCAGCTGCCACACACCGACCGACCAAGAGCTAATGAGCTAATTACTATTACCTCCGCTCTCAAAATCTTAGACCTCCTTTGATTCATAGAATAAGATTATCGTAGTTCATAGGAATTGGAATTTTGTAGGAAATGAGATAGCATGTATCTCAAATCATATGAATAGAAATAGAAAACGAGATGTCATTTGGTTAACACCAAATGAATTTTTTCATTAAGTCTAGACTCATTTTTATTTTTCAATGAAATATGAAGGATAGGAACCAATCCTATATAAAAATAGAAATCTATTTCTATAAATCAAAGGGCTCTAAAGGAAAAAGAACTCTGTAAAAATCCTATCCGCTAGATCCCTATAAAATTCCTCCAAACCAAAAGAGGTATTAGATCTAAATTAAGTATTTTAGGACGGAGGGAGTATGTAAAAGAAACTAGTACAAGATATTTGGAGGACAGGAAACACATGGTGGCTAGAAGCAAAGTACAGCTTCCATGCTTGATGCCTGCCGTTCATGTCCATTCACCATTGTAGAAGCGAAATGGCCATCTTTTTTCTCCTTTTTGAGCATGCCATTTCGATTTCGTCGATGTTGGAAACGGCCGAAAGATCGCCGGTGGCGATGCATGACAACTTCGGATGAAAGAGGACAAACAAAATACAGGGCGCCCCTATTTCTCGCTTACAGCAAGATGGCAGGAAGCCTTGCTACAAGCCCCAGAATGGGCCGACCCAGCAGAGGCCACAGGCCTCTAGCGCATTTTTCTTCTTCCATCTTTTAACATTTTTGCTTTACTTTTCTACTTTTTCATAAATTCCAAAGGATTTTAAAATATTCTAAATATATCTATTATGAAAATCATTTACATTATTTAAAAATGTTAATCATGTATTTTTAAAATGTTAAATGTGTATAAAGTAATGTTGTTGATGTATACAAAAGATTTACAGTGTGTATGAAAGAAAAATAGACATTCAAACACACACACACACACACACACACACACACAACACACACATTAATCATACATTTAAATAATTATTAATCATGTATATGAAAAATGTTCTTGATGTATACATAAAATGTACAATTATTTATACAAAAAGTAGAAATAAAAAATGGATGTTTAATTATTATTTTTAAATATTAACCATGTACATAAAAAATTCCTAATGTAAAATAATGTACAATATGTGTGCAAAAATTAGACATAAAAAATTCTATTAAAAAATGCCAATAATTTTATTGAAAAATGGTAAACATGCATAAATAAAATGTTTTTGATGAATGAAAATGTAAAGTGTGTATGTAAAAAGTATACATAAAAAATATGTACTAAAAACATTAATCATCTAATCGAAAAATGATAATACATTCCAAATGTATACAAAATTAGAATGTGTATGAACAAAAAGTTGATATAAAAATAGATGTTTGAAAAAAATGTAATCATGTATTTGAAAAAATATTCAACGTATATGCAAAAAATGTAAATATGTATGAAAAAAGTTGATATCAAAAATAGATGTTTGAAAACAATTTAATTATGTATTTGAACAAATATTCAACATGTATACAAAAAATATTTCATGTATTTGAATAAATTGTTAAACATGCATAAAAATGCCCCTATTCTATACAAAAAGAGAAAATAAGAAAACAATGAAAACCAAAAAGATAAACTAAGAAAAAACAAAAAAGAAACGAAGGATACGAAAGTAAAGTGAAAACTAAGAATATAAACAAAGAAACTAGTACAAAAGAATGGGAAAAACAATGAAGATCAAAATGGAACAAATAAAGAAAGAAAGGATAGCAAAAAACAAATATCAGCTACAGGGCTCATCTAATCTCGGTGAACGGTAAAATCGAAGTAAATACAAAAAAATTGATTTTTTAGCATGCAAGATATTTTAGTGCGAGAGGTCCGTCCCAAATTTCAGCACATTTGAACACCTGAGTAGCTCTCAGCAAAAAAAAAACAAAATCAGTCCCAAACAATGCGTACAAACATTAAACTTTTTCACAGATCCCAATTTTTTTTCTGAGAAAATCTCAGATATCAAAATGACCTGAAATTTTGCACGGACCTCATGCACTAACACGTCTTGCATGCAAAAAAATAGTTTTTTTTATTTTTTTTTATCATATTTCTTTTGTTTTAGTGTTTATTTGTAGGTGCAGATGAGCTCTTGAGCCATTTAGTCACTCTCAAGAACCTAGAAAGGAAAAAAGAATAGCCAAATACTAGTGAGAAGTAAGAAAAAATAAAGAAAATGAAACAACAGAAAGAAAAGAGAAACTAGTGAAAATTGTGAAAGAAACTGGTAAAACCGATGAGAAAACAAAGAAAAACAAAAAAATGAATAAACCCATGAACAAATAGAGAAAACTGAAAAAGGATAAAAATAAAGGAAAACAGAAAAGAAAAGGAAAGGGAAAAAACAGAAGTAACGAGTGATCGAACACGGTTGGGCATCCCAATCAATCAAACAGCGAAAAAAAGACTACAACGGGTTGCCCCCCTAGCTACAAAGGGATGAAACCCCTTAAGGCGAGTGTACAATTCATCTCGCTACAATCGAGATATATGGTTCTTGAAAGCATGTTGACTCGTCCATCTAATAAAAAGATGAAAAGTCTTGATCGATGAATGTATTTGGACCGTGGATAATTCCTTAAAAGTGCAGGACGTTGAAACACTATCTCTTCATCATGATGCCGATGAAAAATTTCACTTTCACAGAAAATCAAACCAATAAAAAAAAGCTTGACACACCAACATTAACTCATCAGATCCGAATAAACGGATACACGAGGATAAAAAACTCTCTAACCTCATGACACCGTCAAAATAAAGAGCTAACTTTATTTTCACAAAATTCTGATGATCACTAGATATTGACAAAGAATATAAATGTCTTAAAAGATATGAGGTCCCTCACCCTCAACGCTAAGGACAACTGAAGGTGGGAGGACCTAAATTTATCACGACGGCGACGGCGGCACGAGAAACCCTCATGAGTACTAGTTCTCTCGGTTGCTCGCTCGAAGTGGGCGGCAAATAGGTTCGCCCTCGCAGCCCAGGCACGGCCCAAGGCGTGCCGAGCTAGATTTCACGACCGAGCCGCCCTCGTTCCCCTTCCTTACGGCGGCTGCAACCGGATAAACAACGGTGTCGGCGACCACCTCCCAAATCCCAATCCTTCCCAAGTCTCTCCGGCTCTCCTTCCCTTCCCCTTCGCCCAGCAGCGCCGTCGGCGCCGGCCGAGCCAGCGCTGCCGTCTTGCGCACCAGTGCCGCCGCCGCCGCGGTGTGCGGCTGCCTGGCAGTGGCCAGCGCCCGCTCCGGCGTGGATGGGCCCATTCCGTGCGCCTGCTCTCCTTCTGCAGCGTCGCCGCCCCATCATCGGCGGGCCCGTTCGCCCCGCCGCGCGCTTTGGCCCGGGTTTCTCAGCTCCACGTCCACCCCACCTTCCCGAATCCGGCGTCAGTTAGGCGGTAGAAATCAGAACCTTGGCCGTCGACTGGGCAATTAGGCGCCGCAACGCCATCATCTTGGGTTGGCGATGGAAGCTCCAGCCCCAGATTGGTCCGGGCTACCGGCGGATATATTAACCACCGTACTCCAGTTGCTCGAGTGCCCGGATCTCCTCCGATCCGCCTCCGTCTGCACAGCCTGGCACAAGGCGGTCTCTGTGCTCCGGCGTATCGGTGTTTGCCCTGCCTCCCAGACACCCTATTTACTCTATTGCACTGAGGCCGCTGGCAGGAGCGCTCTTGGCATGTACAGTCTCTCGGAGCGAAAGGCCTACACCATGCCCCTGCCTGAACCTCCCATCAACAACTGGATTGGCTCAACACATGGATGGATAGTCACCATGGATAAAAGGTCTGACCTGACGCTGCTCAATCCGATCACTGGTGACAGGATTGCACTCCCTCCCGCAACGACCATGGAACACGTCAAACCTATCCTTAATGATGGCGGAGTTCTTGAGAAGTATGAGGTGTCTTACTACGACGGAGAGCTTCCGAGGGTGGAGGATACACCCTATGTATCTGATTTGGACGAGTATGGTGATTTTTTCTATACTAAGGCAATTTTATCATCTGATCCATCGAAAGGTGAATGCATTGTCATGCTCATCCACCAGCCATATGCTCAGCTCTCGTTTACCAAAGTGGGAGATGTTCACTGGAATTGGCTCAAAATATGTAATTTCTATGCAGATTGCATATCCCATGATGGATGGTTCTATGCAATGACTCCTCAAGGTGCAATTGATGCGTTTAATTTAAATGGACCATCTGTCATCCACGAAAGAGTTTTGCCAGATATGTTTTTGTTTGGTGAAAGATCATACATTGTTAAGGCCCCATGGGGAGATGTCCTCCAGGTTGATAGGAAGCAGATTCTGGATCATGAACAACCAGGTGGTGAGACGTATATCACTAAAATCGAAGTGTACAAGGTAGATTTTGTTGAGCAAAAGCGTGTCAAGATGAAAGGAATAGGTGACCATGCGTTGTTTATCGGCAAAAGTACAACGTCTTGCTTCAGTGTAAAGCATCATCCAGACTTGATGCCAAACCATGTATATTTTACTGATGATCATGATGACGAACTAGTAACCGGGAAAGATGATCTCCGTGACATAGGAGTGTACAACTTGGAAACTGATACCACATGTAAGGTGGTTTATCCTGAACCCTGGCGGACGTGGTTCCCTCCAATATGGTTGACACCCAACCTTGCAAAAAGAGGTACGGTTTCAACTTCTCTCCAGTATATATATTCTCAAATGCTACTTGTTGTATATTCCATTTTCAATAGCAACCATTCTCTCATTTCATTTTTCAGTGCTTACGTACATAATAAGAGAAATGCACTTCGAATTATATGCGTGTCCGCGTAGGCTCGGTCCGAATTAGGATGTTCAGAATAGCTTCAGCAAAAAAGACAAAATTGAATGTGAATAATGTTCTAAACATAAAACTAAGCTTTCATTCTGTTCAGTCAATTTTATCTCTTATTATTTGATAAATGGAAGCATATTTGGAGTTGAACTTTGCACGGGTGTTATATATGCTCTTCTTTTTGCAGTACATTTTTATTTCATTTACGTTTGAGAATTTTTGGAAACTCTTCATGTGTTTTTTAAATGGCATCCTCAGAAAGATGTGTATTTTAGAGATGATTTAGCATTGCATTGGTGGTGGAATCGCTGAAAGTATCTCTTAGATTTCTCTTTTTTTTTCTGTTTTCAGTTTATTTTGGTACAGTGCCTTCTTCGTTTGCTCTAGTGTAGATCAAAATTGTATTTCAAACTTCACAACTGATTACCTTTTACTCCCTCCGTTTATAAATATAAGTCTTTTTATAGATTTCAATAACGACTACATACGGATGTATATAGACGCACTTTAGAGTGTAGATTCACTCATTTTGCTCCGTTTGTAGTCCATATTGGAATCTCTAAAAAGACATATTTAGGAACGGAGGGAATATATGTTAAATAGGAGTGCGGTATCTATTGTACATAATGAAACGATGTTTATGCTTGCTAACTAATTCCTACTTATACTGGCAGGCTTTCAAGATAATAATTGTGGGAGGGAACTCTCCAGTGCTTAACTAAATATATTATGGCACTGCCGGATGGTCAAAATAGATTAGACAAAATAGTATGGGTTTATCTTGTTTGACTCATGCACCTAACATTTTGATAATTACGAATTCGACTATAGCCTAACCTGTATGTGTATTTTACACATCCAACAAACTCAACCTGCCAATATGTCCTTCACCGTCTTGAAGTCATCATGCACGGACATCTGTGTACCTTGAATTTGAATGATATCATGAGCTTCACTGGTACTTCCATGACTGCATACGACTCCACTTGAAATTGTAGTTCATTCTTTTCTTCACAATAAAATGCTTTCATGAAAATTAGGCTATCCCTCTCTACTATTTTGTATTCCCAACTTCTCAGAATATCCAAGATACAATGTACGTGGATTGAGTCGATCAAGGATCTGATGCCTAGACTTAGATTACGGATTTCTCGGGATAAACCAATTAGGAAGAAAACCCCAGCAGAATATCTTCGTTGTTTAGTCACATGGATAATGGTTACCAGGCCACGGCCCCCTGAAGTTGTACAAACACATCATCAGCTAACGTTTGTAATGAGATGTCGCTTGGAATATCATCACTGACTGACAATTGAAGGGCATGAGAAGTTAAGCACGCCAGGCATTTCCGGACACTCGAAGAGTTGATTTTCATGTACATGTGTTGGTAGATGAATTCTCAAACACTTGAATGCAAAACTTTGAATGCTATGAAACTAGATCTTAAGGGGTTATGCCCATTCTGGAAGAAAAAGGGGTTATGCCACTCCAGCAACATATGACTAAGCATGGCAATGGGGCGGTTTTCGACGTGCAGAGCTCCTCGAGATCCACGCCCATGCCCATGCCCATGTGCGGATATATCCATGGGATAATTTCTACCCATGCCCATAACAGTTCGATATCTAGCTATATCCATGGTTATCCTTTGAGCAAAGACAAACAATACTTGCAACAATATGTACATCGGCAACAAAATCAAAATTAGTCCCAACAACAGTATAGTACTAATATGCATTTAGTATGTATTGCAAACATTATAATACTTAATGTCTGATTCACACAACAAAAGACTTTTATAGGGTTTCGGGGTTGTCTATGGGGTTTAGGATCAGTGACAATTGTGGCTCACATGTCACACATGTATCGAATTTATAGCCATGGAATAAAACTTGCACCCATGCCCAACCCATGAGTTTGTCGGTACCACCCACGAGAATTCGTGGGCAAAAGAAAAACTACATACATGTGTCTAGTGTACACGGTATCCATTGGTAGCCAGACCCATGAATAAAAATGCCATGCTCACATATAACTCGATAGTTTGAACTCTCATAATCATTGGAGACAAGGGATCACTTGTACTTCCTATGCCCATAGTCTGAACTCACCATGGGCGCTCGTTGCTCGATGCCGGAGCGGCTGCGGCCAGAGGACCGCACTGGGCGGAGT